CCAACCAGGTGGATGGATTCCATTCCTGCCCCTCGGAAGGGGCGCGCAGGAACGCCCCGCTGCGTGGGCTCGGCGATGAATCGCGCCACCGCCGCCTCTTTGCATCCCGCAGCCTTCAGAGGGATCAATCATCGCCTGTGCCTGGCCCAGGGGAGGGCAGCCCTCTCCCCCCACAAGCAGCGTGCTGCTCCTGTGTGTGCCCACTCACTGGGACCTGCTGGTGGGGTCTCATTGCACAAGTCTTCATCCCATTCCTGTGCTTTGCTTTGTTCTGGGCGTGCGCTTGGGTCCCTTTGGTGTCCGCCCTTGCAGTGGCTGTGCTGGCAGTCCCCACGTTCAGCATTTGTCCCCAGTTCCTTGAGCTGTGCATGTCCCAGAGGCTCTGGGGTGGCTGGGGCAGCAGGTCAGTCTGGAAGCGGTGCCTCTGGCTTGGAGGAGTGTATGTCCCATTCCAGCCTGGGATAAACCATCCCCGTTTGGTTGTGACACAAACCACGAGCAGAGCAGGCACCGAGATGGACGTTGCCTGCTATGCTGGTGGTACTGCAGTGCTGCTGCAAGGCGCAGCCTCTTGGGATGTACTGTGGCAGCAGCAAGCTGCTCCTGGTCTGGCTCTGCTCTTGACTCCTCTGTCCTTCTCCTTTTGGCCTCCAGGACGACATGACCGACTCGCTGCGGGATTACACCAACCTGCCCGAGGCTGCGCCCCTGCTCACCATCCTGGACATGTCAGCCCGGGCCAAGTACGTGATGGATGTGGAGGAGATCACGCCCGAAATCGTGGAAGCCTTTGTCAGCGACTTTCTAGCAGACAAGCTAAAACCCGAGCCCATCTAAGGGGCCCCTGTGCCAACAGACGTTATTTAAAACTAGGTCTCTCTTCCGCCGCTTGTGGATTCTCCAGCGTGTCCTCACGCCCGACCCAGTATCCAACCTTCTTGTGGTGCCTTGTTTTACGCAGTGAATCCTCCTCCTAAGCAAACTCCTTGAGATGCACTTTCAGCAGGGAGTTGTTGGCGTTTGGAGACTTCGCTTGTGCTTCATGGTGATATAATAACCTCTAATAACCAGGCCAGAACTGTTACCGTATCGTTATTTTATACATGGCACTAGCTAGCAGGCAAATCTTTTTGCATGGTGTTCTTCCCAACGTATGCATCAGGCAGTGGGTGGGCTTTCTTGGGGCTCTTTTCTTTCTCCTCCCCTCCTTCTTTCCTTCCTCACCACCCCTGCTGACTAAACGACTTCCAGGAAGCAATAAGGAAACTGTCCCCATCGCCCCTGGCCAGTTCTTTCTCTCCCACGAAAGTGCCCTGACAAGGCCAAGACAAAGTCTTAACTGCTGACAACCTCTGAAAGACCACGGCACAGCCAAGCTCTTCCTCCTGGGGGTGAGACCTTGCGGGTTTCCCACCCCCCATCCAAGCACCGACAGCCTTAGGCAGCGCTGGCTGTTGTGTCAGGGTCCATCCCCCTGCCATGGGTGGGTATTCCCTCTGTCCCTCCCATTCCGAGCCAGGAGGAGGATCACCACCGGGCTGCCCTCCCCTCTCGTCTCTTCCTTGTGCTCTCCCTGTCCCCTCTTGTCCTTCTCTCTGGTATGAATTGTCCTCTCTCCCCTCTGTGTTAGTTGATTGAGCTGTTTTTCGTAGGTGTGTCCCAAACTCAATGTTAATGGTGCTGTTCTTAAAAAAAAAAATAACCAAAAGAAAAAAAAACCCCTCCCAAACCCTAAGAAAAAAAAAAACCCTCCCTCCCTAACCCAAGCAGCACAGCCGAGCCCTTGAAAAGTGACATTGTAAAAACTGTACATGGTGATTGGAACTTTGTAATAAAACTGTTTCACTGACCTCGATTGCTGCGTCCTGCTGTCAGGGAGGAAACCTGTGTGGGGGAAGAGGAGCCCACATCCTGACCCCATGGATAGGTGGTTCCTGGGATGTTTTTTGTGTGTGTTCCCCCTGAGCTGCCACAGCCCTGGCTGTGCCTGCTTTGGTTGGAGCTCCCCAGGAGGGAGGAGGGAGCCCTTTGGCAGCCACTGGGGCGTTCCCAGCCTGAATAGTGTTGTGCAAGCCACTGCTTCTCCCTTTCAGCTCATCAGTCAGCCATGGCAGGATTATGGCCTCTGCTTTCATCCTGCTGCAGCTTCCCACCCCGCCAGGAGCTGGGAACAGCCGCCAGCTCGGCCTGTGCAAACCCAGCCTGTGTTTTGCACGTCTCAGGGGGTTCCTGAGTTCAGCAGGGATGAAGTGCCAGGAGAGCAGCTCCAGGAGCAGCCTGTGGTCAGGAGTGCTGCAGCTCGGACACCCCAGCCAGCCCGGCCATGGCAGGGTTGGAGGGAGTTTGCTGGAGCACAGGATTTGGGTAAGCACAGGCAGGACCCATTCAGGTAGCAGCAATTTGGTGTTTGTGACCCAAAACCGCAGCCAGCAGCCAGGCTGGGAAGGACACACACTGTCAGCAGCAGCCAGGCTGGGAAGGACACACGCTGTCAGACAGGGATCTGAGGTCTCCATGGATCTCCTGGATGAAAGGAGGGAACTGGCTGAGCAGAGACCAGGGCTGCACCCCGGCCTTTCCCTTCTCTCTAGCATCACCGTGTGGCCACACACTCATCCCAGCATTCTCCAGCCTTAAATACTCATTTACTACAAACCAAACAGCCCGAGCTGCTCTTTTATTAACCCTCAAAGAACCAAAGGCAAGAGGGGCTCCTTCAGCACCCCAAACAGTTCAGCCTGGCACAGGCAACTCCTGCCTGCCATCCTCCTGCTTGTGCCTCCACAGCAGCTGCCTCTTGCCCTCGAAGAGCACGATGCCAGCAGCGATGGCCGAGTTCAGGCTGTCCACGCCTGGCACCACGGGGATCAGCAGCCTCTTGCCCCCCGTGCTGGCTGCCAGCCCGAGCGCTGCGGGGCTCAGGCCGTGGGTCTCCCCTCCGACCACCACGGCCACCGGAGCCCGTGCCCAGTCCTCGTAGTAATGCTGAGCAGCCAGCTCTGGCATTGCTGCTGCCTCCTCATCCTCGTGCTCGGGAGCAGCCTTGGGGCTGGATTTCATGGGAGATTTTGGGCTGGCAGGGGCAGAGCCAGCCCTGCCAGCCCCTCTGGGCACGGACGTGTCGGGGTCGTTGTTGTCGGCCACGCAGACCTGGATGCCAGCAGGGAGGTTGGTGGGAACAGATTCCCAGTCCAGGTTGGCGATGATGGGCACACGGAAATGAGCCCCCATGCCTGCACGGAGCACCTTTGGCTCCCACGGATCCACACAGCCTGGGAAGGAACAGGAAGAAACCGTGATAGCACAGGGATCCCCACAGAGGTGGGATTCACAGCCACAGCCAACCAAGCCAGCCAAGCACCTCTTTACCCCCAGGCTACTCAAACTTTTCTCTTACCTTTGGTGAGCAGCACTTTCTCACAGCCTGCTCCTGCTGCAGATCTCAGAATAGTCCCCAGGTTTCCTGGATCTCGGATGTTGTCACAGATGAGGAGCAGCGGCAGGGAGTTGGCGAGCTGAGATGCAGGGTAGGACATCTTGGCAGGGTCAGGCTTGGAAAAAATGCCTGAGGAAATGAAGTGTGACAGGTTTTTCACTGACCCACCCCCAGGAGAGGCCTGCTCTGAAAGAGCTGGCCCAGATTTCACTTAAGATGTGCCAGAGGAAGTGTCAGGAAAAGCACCACCTAAAGGAAGTGTGAACAGAGTTTGTCACTTGGCAAGGAAAACTTATTTTCCAGCAGTGCTATGTCGAAGAAAAGATTATTAAGAGAGTCATTACCCTAAATATGAAAAGTTTCCCTTTGGGCAGTGTTGCAACTGTTTTAAAGGCAACTTACCAAGAAGCCCCTGAGGAGTCACGAGGTCAGACCAGGTCTTAATGTCTTCAAATTTCACCTTAACCAAGCTGGCTCGTTTTATCTCTGCCTCAGGCAGCAGCTTCAGGTGCCCCACAGTGCTGAAGAAGAGAGTCTGTGGCACAGCCCCTGCCTCCAGCGCATCCTTGATCAGCCTGTGCCCCTCCAGCAGAACCTTCCCGTGATTATCTCGAAACTTCTTTGACTTGGCGATAGTCACCACTTTTCTGTGGAGAAATTATTCAGAGAACGTGGCTGTGATGCTCACAGCGCCTTCAGACCGACCTTCACCAGCCCCTGAGAGCTCCTCTGGGAGGTCACAAAGGTGACCTGAGGGATGGAGCACCTGTCCTAGGAGGAAAGGCTGGGCGAGGTGGCCCTGGGGTGAGATCAGAGCACCTGAAAGAGCTAGTGAAGGGCTTGGACAAGGACCTGGAGTGCCAGGATGATGGGGAACGGCTTTAAACTGCCAGAGGGCAGGATTAGATGGGATATTGGGAAGGAATTCCTCCCTGGGAGGGTGCTGAGGCTCTGGCAGGGCAACTGCGGCTGGCCCTGGATCCCAAGGCCAGGCTGGATGATGCTTGGACAACTTGGTCTGGCGGAAGATGTCCCTAGCCGCGGTACGGGTGGAACGGGCCGGGCTTTAATCTCCCCTCGAGAGAGAAAGGGGATTAAAGAACCAACCCCTCGCCGGTTCTATGAAGCCCTCCCGGCTCCTCCAGCGCGGCCGGGCCCCGCTCCCCGCGCTCACCCCAGCCTGCGGTCCCCGGCCGCCGCCTTCTCGTACCGCGGCCCCGCCGCGGCCGCGCTGCGCTCCACGACGGGCGGCGGCGGCTCCGCGGAGCTCCGCGGGCGCTCCATGGAGCTCCGCGGCTGCGGCTCCCGCACGGAGCTCCACGGCTGCGGCGCCCGCACGGGGCTCTGCGGCTGCGGCTCCCGCATGGAGTTCTGCGGCTGCAGCTCCCGCGCGGAGCTCCGCGGCTGCAGGACCCTCACGGGGCTCCGCCGCAGCGCCCGCACCCCGCGCCGCCCGCCCGGCTCTGCCCGCGGCCCGCGGGGCCTCAGCGGCAGCAGCAGCAGCGCCCGCCCGGCGCGGCCCAGCGCCGCCATGGCACCGCCCCGTGACGTCACGACAGCCCCGCCCTGACGTCACGGCCATGGCCGCCCACAGGGCGCTGCACTTCGTGTTCAAAGTGGGAGACCGGCCCCGCACGGCGCGGTTCTACCGGGAGCTGCTGGGCATGGGCGTGAGCACCGGGGAACGGCGGGCCCGGGGGGGGTGGTGAGGGCCGGGAACGGGCGGGTCTGCGGCCGCCGTGGGCACGGGGCGCGGCCCTGGGGATGGGAACGGGGCTGGGAATGGGGATGGGGAATGGGAATGGGGAAGAGGGTGGGGATGGGGATGGGATGGGAATTGGGATGGAATGGGGACAGGAATGGGAGTGGGAATTGGGATGGAATGGGGACAGGGACAGGAATGGGAATGGGGGTGGGAATTGGGATGGAATGGGGACAGGGACAGGAATGGGATAGGAATTGGGATGGTAATGGGAATGGGGATGGAGATGGGAGTGAGAATGGAGATGGGGATGGAATGGGAATGAGAATGAGGATGGGAATGTGATGGGGACAGGAATGGGATGGGAAATGAGATGGCAATGGGGATGGGAATGAGATGGGGATGGGGATGGGAATTGGGATGGAATGGGGACAGGGACAGGAATGGGATGGGATTGGAATGGTAATGGGAATGGGGATGGAGATGGGAGTGGGAATGGGGATGGAGATGGGAGTGAGAATGGAGATGGGGACGGAAATGGGCATGGGGATGGAATGGGAATGGGAATGAGGATGGGAATGTGATGGGGATGGGGATGGGATAGGAAATGAGATGGCAATGGGGATGGGAAGGAAATGGGGATGGGGATGGGATAGGAGCTGTTTCCTGCCCGCGCTGGCCCCGTTCCCGCCCGCTTTCCCAGGCCTGGGGAAGGCGTTCCGGCTTGGATGGAGGGGATGCTCAAGGGGATCCCCTCCCAAGCCAGTGGCTCTGCAGGTGCTGCGGCACGAGGAGTTCGAGGAGGGCTGCAAGGCCACCTGCAACGGGTGAGTGCCCAGAGCAGCTGTTGTTCGCAGTGAAATAAAGTTTGGGTTGTTTCTTATTCAATTGCTTCCCTTGGAACCTGCAGCCCCCCACTCTGTGTAGGTGTGGTGCTTATATTGAACAGAAATACCACGCCTCTAGGTTGATACTTAATTATTTCTCAGCTTATCAGGAACTTCTCATCTTATCAGGACTCCAGTTCCACTGATTGATTAGATAAGCGTGGCACTATCAAGGTTCTTGAGTTAAAAAGCCCTCCTGGTAGCCCCAAAGGCTAAAGAAAAAGAAATGAAAAGAAGAAGAAAGAGGAATGCATTTCATTGTGAAGTGGAAGGAAATCTTACAGTTTGGTGCCCTTTCCTACTTAGCAATAAGGAAGTGATTATGTAATTGCAGCTAATGAGCAGCCTGTGCTCTTAAAGCACGAGCTGTTAATGAGGTAGAATTGCTTTTATCATATGAAGAGAGCCTGGGGTCAAATCTGCCACAATCTCGCTCTAGAAACACAACTGCTCCTTGAAACACAAATACTCGCAGTTCTTGGTGGTTCATTTCAATGCTAATGACATTAAAATATGGATAATATGGATATTCCAGCCCTTATGATGGAAAATGGAGCAAGACCATGGTGGGCTATGGACCAGAGGACAATCACTTCGTGGCAGAGCTGACTTACAATTATGGCATTGGAGAATATCGCCTGGGCAACGACTTCCTGGTGAGTTCCACTCATGAGAAGCTGATTTACCTTTATAATTAGGAGCTCATTTGTCACAGCTTCTTTTTCTTATGCTGTTGGGTCCCTTAAACACATAATTGTTGCTTTTGTGGTTGTCTCTGAGTTGGAAGAGCAGAAACCAGAGCAGATTTGTGCTCACTTAAAGGTCCAGGAAACATTTCTGGAGCTCTGCCTCTGCTGTGTGGGACAGATGGTGTTTGCTGCCACATCCAACAGGAGGGACTTGCTGCAGGAAAACACTCTTATATTTATTACTCTGATAATTTTTGTGATTTAGTGGCTGGCAGCAGATGGAGATCTCGTGTTTCCTGTGTGGAAGGAGGTGCTGTCTCTGCCTCCACCCCATGGATTATGTTGTGTCCTCTCTAGGGCATCACTCTGGTGTCCAGCCAGGCTGTGAGCAATGCCAAGAAGATGGGGTGGCCCCTCAAAGAAGTCACCTCTGGTGTCTTTGAAGCTGAAGCCCCAGGAGGATACAAATTCTACCTGGAAGACAAGGAACAGCCCAAGCAAGGTGAAATATTTAAATATTTACCCCTGCTGGTGTTCAGCAGAGGTTTAACTGTGGGGTATCAGAGTGTGTTTATTTTAATGGCATTTTGAAGAACAGTACACTTTTTTTGTAATTTCTCTGTTACTTCTCGAGAATACTAATGACATTAACTGTGGGTTTAAAGCTATAATATGTTTGTAGCTAATGTGAAATTATTGCAATCCTCAAGATCCCGTGTGGAAGGTAACCCTGGGTGTCTCAAACCTGCAGAAGTCTGTGAGCTACTGGTCTGGTTTGCTTGGGATGAAAATCTATGAGAAGGATGAGGGGAATCAAAGGGCTCTGCTGGGCTACGCTGATAACCAGGTCAGTCCTTGGAAAAATCACCAATTTCAGGAAAAAAGTTCTTAATTAGAGCAACTGTGCCCTTAGTGATGAGTGTTTTAATTGAAGCTGTATAAACCCAGCTACGCTTTTTTTTTAAAAAAAAAAAAAAGCAAAGCTGTGTTTTGCTGTGGCTTGGTGGGAAAGGTGTGGATGGGGGATTTTGGAATCAGCTGCAGCCTGGAGCAGTGTCCCTGCAAGCCAGGCTGGGTTTTTCCCTGTCCCAGTGCAAGCTGGAGCTGAAGGCTGTTGGAGGGGCAGTGGACCACGGGACAGCGTTCGGCCGCATCGCCTTCTCCTGTGCCAAGGAAGAGGTAACAGCCCCACTTCCCTCCCCCCAGCTGGGAAGGCAATTTTTGGTGTTAACAAAACCCTGAGCAGATCTTTGGCAGCGAGGTGATTTGGGTTTGTTTTCTGTTTCCAGCTGCCAAGCATTGAAGCCCTGATGAAAAAGGAGAATCAGAAAATTTTGACGCCCCTGGTCAGCTTGGACACGCCTGGCAAAGCCACGGTGCAGGTGGTGATTCTGGCTGATCCTGTGAGTAAAACTGGAGAGTTAAAAGTGGTTAAATTTGGTTTCAGTTTCTCCTTGCCATTGGTTATAACTGAGCTGCCTCCTTTCAGGATGGCCATGAAATCTGTTTTGTGGGGGATGAAGCGTTCCGAGAGCTGTCCCAGGTGGACCCTAATGGTGACAAGCTATTGGATGATGTAAGTAGCTGCACATTAATTTTCTTCCTGATTAGAGATACCTGTAAAATCCAATTTTCATTCCATGCTGAGTTTTTCCTGGAAGCAAATCACCCAGGCTTGGTAAGGAAAATAAATCAGGTTTTAAATCTCACTTGGTGCCCCGGGTGGAGTTGTCCATCCTCACTCCTGGGGCATGGTCACAATGTTCTCGTGGCAGAGAACATTGTTTTTCAGATCAGTTCTCCTTATTAGTGGCTAAAAAATGATTTATCCCTACAGAGAGCTTTCCTCCTGTTCTGACCACGTTCCCACTTGTCTTTGTGCAGGCCATGGCTGCAGACAACAGTGACAAGTGGTTTGCTGAGCACAACATGAAGAAGGTTTCAGCTTAGCCTGAGGAATGGCCTGTGCTGCTCCTCTGTGCCTTGGAGTTCTTCCAAGAAAATGCCAATCGTGGTTAAAGTGCTGCCTTCCTAATCAGAAGGTGCTGGGATGTCCTGTGGTGGGTTTTTTTGGGTTGATTTAAGCTGATGTCTCTGGCCTGCTGCTCTGTCCCTTTCACATCTCGTCCATCCAAAAAATCGGGGGCCGTGCAGCAAAGGAGCAGCTGAGCCTTTGGCTTCAAAACCAGGGATCATCAGTCAAGAGAACATCACATTTCTGTGTTGTTGTTATGCTTGAAGGAAAGGTGAATAGATAGGTTATTTTCTGATTAATTAATTTCCTGATTAATTTGCTTTAGCTGTCCTTCATTTGCAGACTAGAGAGGAGATTTGGCGGTAGCTGTGGCTACTCCCCCTCTCCAGTGGGGTGTGGGGTGTATCCCTTTATTGGGAGCAAAGAAATGATTTTGCCAAGCTGCGTGAATACCCCAGTCCTTGTTTTCATTCCAAGGAGTTTCCCCAGCTTCCAAGGGGAAATGTTCAGCCCGTGGTGTGTTTCTCACTGGGATCAATGGGTTTCCAGTCTTTCTCCAGGAGATTTCCACGTTCCAGGAGGGAGCTGAGGCTGTGCTTTGGGGTCTGCTGAGGTGCCAGGGGGAAGCTTGAAATAAGTTTTTCAGTTAGCTTTTGGTGAGAAGCTGCCTTTGGAAATAACAGTTCAGGGTTTATTGTGTTGGAATGAAGTCACTCTGCTTTTGCTGGGAATACAGGGAGTCATTCCCAGCATTGCTTGTGCCAGGTATGCTGCCTGACCGCTCGTTTCCTTGATGAGAAGCTTAAATAAAATCCTTTAAATCAGGTTTTTGTTGCGAAAGCGAAATGAATTTCATGGAGATGAATAATCGGGTGGCGTTGGCACTTCTGAGGTGGAGCAGGAAAAACTCCTCGCTGTGGGTATTTTTTTTTCAGTCAGCTTTTCAATTCCGTTTTAATGACGGTTTCGAATCCTATTCGCCAAATTAAACAGGTTGATAGTGGAGCACGACAATTAATTAATGAATTAATTGAGGAATTAATCAGCACACCTCCGCGCCGCTAGGGGGCGCTGCGAGCGCTCTGAGGGGAGGGTGACGTCACGGCGCGGGCGCCATGGCGGCGGCGGAGCGCGGGCCCGCGATGGCGGCGGGCGGGCCGTGGGATGTGGGCGAGGAGACGGCGATCCTGCACGGCGGCTTCCTGCTGGCCGCCCGCCTGCTGCAGCCGCGGCCGCTGCGGGAGCTGCGCAAGGCCGACTGGCCCCGCGCGGGGCTGCCCATCGCCGACGCGCTGCGCGAGATCGCCGAGCGCTGCCCCGCGCCTCGCCGCCCCTGGAAGAAGGAGGCCGTGGCCATCGTGTGGGCCAAGATCCTGCTGCCGGCGCCGGAGTGGGGCTGGAGGGATGACGGGTTCTTCTCGGTGGGCGCGATGCTCCCCGATGTCAGCCACGCCGCGCTGTTCGAGCTGGTGAAGGCGCTGGGCGAGCCGCGGCTCTGGGTGCAGCTGCTGCTGGCGCTGCCGCCGGCCGTGTGCCGGGCACAGCTGCAGAGCTTGGTGCGGTACATCTCCAGCGACACGGCCCTGTCGGACGTCAGCTTCTTCCTGGACGTGTGGTGGGAGGTGCTGAAGCACAGAGAGGGGCAGGAGGATGCCACGGTGTCGGCGTTCGGCGCTCTCATCCATCAGCACGCCGGGGAGTTCCCCCCCGAGGATGGGCTGCAGCCCCCAAAGAGGTTCAAGGGTGACCCTGGCAGCGCCCCAGCCGCCGCCGGGCTGCCCGCGGTGCTGCTGGAGGGGTTAAAGCAGATCCGAGGCAGCATCGCCCAGCCCCGCCTGAGGTGCTACGCTCTGGCCAACCTGGCGGAGCTGCTGTGCCTCTCCTCGGGGCTGGGCCCGGGGAGCAGCCCCCTGCCCATCGCGGAGCACCTGGCCAAGCTCGGTGCGGTGGTCAGCCTCTGGAGCAGTGATGCTGACAGCCAGTACCACCCCTGCGAGCTGGGAGAGAAGGTGAGGGAGGCAGAGAGGTGCCTGAGCCTCCTGTGCCTCACCAAACCCTCTCGTGAGGAGCTCTTCGATGGCTTGAGCTTGCTCTGCAGCTTGTTGCAGGCCTGGGGAGAGGAGCTGCGGGACACTCTGAGGGGGTGTGAGGGGCTTTGCTTCGAGAGCTACCGGCTCCTGGACGCTCTGAGCAGCCTTGGGAAGAAGCTGGATTTCCTCTCGGAGACCAGAGAGCTGGGGCAGGGCGAGACATGGGTGGTGTCACAGCTGACACAGCTCGTCAAGGACTTCCTCAGGGACACCAGTGCTGTCCTGAAGGGTTTGGACACCAGCCTTGTGTCTTCAGTTGCCATGGCAATCATTGCACAAAGGCTGGACCGCCATGGGGAAACCTGCTCTGTTTTTGCCTCTGAAAAGACCTGGGCTTTTTCAAAGGCCTGGGTCGAGTGCCTGGTGAAAAACAAAGCTCTGTTCCAGACCCCTGAGCTAGTTTTGAAACTGCTGGAGACGCTGGTGAACTTTGCCACATCCCACCATGATCAGGAGGCCCAAGAGCTGCAGATGCAAGTGACCAAAGCCATCGTGGAGTGTTACACTGAGCTTTCATTGAGTGACAAAAACAAAGTGATCTCAGCTGTCCTGGCGTCCTGGGGCGGCCCAGGTCTGTCCCAGAACGTGCAGGTTGTCAGGAAGGGCTTCCAGGAGGACCTGAATGTGACTTTGAACCAGATCACAGAGAGTGTGTCTGATGAAGGCCTGGCCAGGGCTGTGGCTTCTGTGGCCAGGCTGACACTGCTGTCCCCCGAGGCCACAGTGAAGCAGGTTTGTCATCTTGCTGTGGTCAACCTCGGAGCACACCAGTTCCTTGCCCAAATCCTCTGCTCCTTCCCAGCACTGAGCTTTGTGGAGAGCCACGAGGATGCAGGCAGGACACACAGCCTGGTGATGAGGTGCCTGGAGGAGGCAGTGTGGGGGAAGCTTTCCACGGCGAGGGAAGAGGAGCAATTCCTTCAGTTCCTGGCCTTTCTCATGCAGCCAGGCTCAGCCACCCCGCTTGTGTCACCTGCAGAAGTGACCAAAGCCTTTGTCCTTCCCTGTTTAAAGTCAGACTCTGCTCAGATTGAGCTGAGCCTGCAGATCCTCAGTAAGGTTTTGGGAATACCATCCTGCTCAGAAGAGCACTGGATTAAATCCTGCCACCCATTCCCACTTCTCCTTAGCCTCTGCAAACTTCTGGATGGTTACACCAAGTACTGGCATCAGTCTAGGGAGCAGCTCTTCCCTTCCCTGGAGACCAAAGACCTGATTCTGGACATCCTGTGCCAGCTGTGCGAGCTGGTGGGACCAGAGACCGTCCCCTCCTCGGAGCTGTGGGTGCAGTCGCTGGCCTGGCTCCACAGGAAGGTGGCAGCCCTGGACTGGACCGTGGGGCTCCGTCTGAAGAAGCTTTATGGGGGCCACTTCAAGAACGAGGTCCCGGCGACGCTGTTCGAGATCTGCAGGCTCCCTGAGGAGGAGTGGACGTGCCAGTCCTGGCCAGCCTATGGGCCGGGCAGCGGGCTGCTGGCGTGGATGGAGTGCTGCTGCGTGTCCCCAGCGCTCAGGGACTCCATGCTGGAGCTGCTCTGTGTCAACGTGGACAACCCCGAGGAGGTGAATCTCTTCAGCAAAGGCTTCCTGGTGGCCTTTATCCAGGTGCTGCCTTGGTGCAGCCCCGGCGAGTGGAGGAGGTTGGTGCCCGTGGTGGAGCAGCTGCTGCAGAGGCAGGTGCTGCACGTTCCCTACACGCTGGAGTACGTGCAGCACATGCCCCTGCTCAACCTGCGCCCCTTCGCCTGCCACCTGCAGCTCTCCGTGCTCTTCCTGCGGGGCTTCCAGCTCCTCTGCAGCTCCAGCTGCTCCAGCTGGCTGCCTCCAGAGGCCTGGCTGCATGTGGTGCAGCTGTACTGCGCCGGCCTGACCGACCTGCTGGCCTCCCTCAAGGCCACGGCGGCGGCTGCAGCTCAGCCCTGCGCGCAGGAGGTGTCCTTCACCTGCATCCAGCTCTTCTGCCACCTGCTGCACGTGGCTGCCATGCTGCCTGCTGTGGGCTGTGAGGAGCCGCTGCTGGTGGTGGCCCTGGAGGTGCTGTCACAGTATGAGGTGTCCAGCAAGGCTGACGGGTCGCCCTGCGCCGCGCTGCGCAGAGCCAACGAGGGACATTTCCTGCAGGCTGTCACTGACAGCCTGGGGCACGAGGAGCTGCGCTGCACACTCCTGCAGAAGCTCAGCAAGCTGGGGGCACGCTCAGAGCACTGATGTGGACCTTGTATGATCTGTAATAAACCCTTATTTTTTCTCTTTTGAGTTTATTCCCTCCCTGCTGTGCTCTCCCACTAAGCAGTGGAAGCAGCCGCATGGAGATAGGTCGGAGGAGGCACTTTGGTTTTCCATTGGAATAACTGGGCACAGCTGTTCCTGAGCCAGGCTGCCAGTTCTGTGGCTGCTGGCTCTCTGCATTTACACAGCAGCCTCCAGCATCGAGGAAATAGCTTCCCTCTGGCTGCTTTGCCACCAGCCCTCTCCTAGTCCCAGGAGAATTGCTGGTTTTGCCACGTGCTGCCGGAGGCTGGGAAGTGAGTTGGAGGCTGGGAAGCGAGTTGGGTGAGTTCAGGACAGGCAGGAACCTCTGGAAATCCATGTGTGCTGCTTCTGCCCGGAGGTGGGGGTGCAGCAGTAACCCCACATGTAACACCCCCACCCAGCAATGAACGGCACGTGGAAGAGCCAGCCAGTGGTGTGACTCAGAGAGGAAATCTTTATTGGTCTCCTGATAGTAAATAGGGCAGTGTTAGTGCAAACTGGAGTGCCTCATTGGCTGGGGATTTTTTTGTCCTTACATAAGGCACGTTATTTGCAATGAAAACAGTGAGATACAACATCTGTAAAGAGTTGCAGGAGTTTGTAACATCAGCTGGTCTCAGTGGTTACTGTGGAGTCTCTGCAACAACAACCAGGGGTCGGAAGAGGCCCTTTTTGGTTTTTTACACTCTATTCAGAACAGCAGCAGTGGTTGGGACCAGATCCAACACCCAAAAGATCCAGATTTCGCAGAGCTTGGCTGCTGGTTTCAGACAGAAGGAAAGGCACAGAGCTGTCACAGGTCTGTGGGCATGGGGGCTGTGCCAGTGCAGTTCCCTGCCTGGAGTAGGCACAGGAGGCTGCAGGAGGATGTGGCTGTCCTGGCTGGTGCTGGCTGCAGGGGATGCACTCAGCTGTGGTCTGATTGCACACACCCTGTGGTGCAGGGCGGGCTGGGGAGCCTGGACCCATTTTGCTAAAAGTGACTAGAAGTGGAAAATGGGCTGAACCAGCCAAGGAGCAGCTCAGCATCCTGCTCTGATTCCTTCAGTGCAGGAGGGTGGGATGGGGCTGGAGGGATGGACTGCAGAGCTGTTTCCAGGGTGTGGCAGTACCAGCTGGAGGGCAAGAGCAGAGCAGGGTGTGCCAGGTGGTTTTAAATACCTGCTGGGGGGATGCAGGCCAGATAAAAGCAGCTGTGGTTAGGGGAGGGAAAATTGCATCCCCTGCCAAGGAAGGGCTGTGACAGCAGAACCATTCCCACGGTGGCATGAACTTGTGAACTGGAACACAGGAGTCCCCCCAGCCACTTGGGGTGAAAAGCACCGTCGGGATGAGTGGAGCTTGAGCCCAGCAGCAGCAGCAGCAGGAGGTGAAAGTAGAGCTGAAGTCAGAAAAGCTCAGGCACGGCTCTGCTGCAGCTCCAGCACAGGCTCCCACCCCGCCGCAGCATCCTCCCGGTGTCCGGTGTCAGCGCTGGGAGCCGCCGGTGGGGCGGAACAAACCGCTGTGTGCGAACCTCCGGCCGTGCCGTGCCGAGCCGAGCCGTGCCGGATCCCAGCAGCAGCAGGAGCACACCAGGAAAGCCTTCCCGGGGTGGGACGTGCTTCCAGCTGCTCCCCGAGGGAAGGGCCGGGGGCTGCCCCGTGCCGGGCCGTTATCAGCTCCGTTATCTGCTCCGGTGTGCGGCAGAGCCGCCGTAGAGCCGGGCGGCCTTGCGGCAGAGGAGGCGGAACCAGTAGAGCTGAGGGGCGATGAGGGACGCGTTGGCGATGTTGCAGTGCAGGGGGATGCGGAACGGCACCAGGTAAAGCGGGATCCCCACCTGGCGGGCGTAGGCCGCGTACATGAAGGGGAAGAGGAGGATGCGGCACAGGAAGAAGGTCACCAGGATGACGATCCCGTTCACCTTGTGCAGCAGCGTGTCCTGCATTTTGAGCTGGGGGAGGAAGGGAATGTGGGGTGAGCAGCACTTCGGGGTGCTGGTGAGCATCCAGGAGGGCTGGAGGAAGGTGGGGTGGGAAGGGATGGAGGAGAGCAGCACCAGCTCACGGCACAGCCCCCAGTTCTGGGATACCACTCGGCTTACAGGTGGGAGAAGGGGATGGGAAGCTGGGAGGAAGGCAGCACTGCAGGGGAGTGCCCTGCCCCTCTCTGAGCCACCCCCCAGCTCAGCCACTACCTGGAGAGGGGCAATGGAGCCTGGGGCAGGGACAGAGGACAAATTGCTGTGGGATTCCCAGCCCCAAGCCCCGTGCCTCCTGACCTACCTGCATGAGGATTTTGCCCAGTGAAACAAAAGGCGTGCTCAGCTCTGCCATGAAGATGCAGCCCACAAAGAAGTCCCCCAGCTCTCCCCTGAAGTGCTGTAAAGAAAGGCAGCACTGAGCACCTGCAGAGAGGTGGCCAGGAGCCAACACCCAGCATATCCAGGGGGTCCTGGACTCCTGCAGCAGCCCTTACCTGGGTGATGGGGGTGAGCACGATGAGAATGAAGAGGTGGTGGGTCACCATCAGCCGCTCCTGCAGGAGGAAGCTCCACACGCTGGCCAGCGAGTGCTTCTTCTCCAGGATCCCCTTCTCCTGGCTCTTGTGCCAGTGGCAGAGGTACATGACATAGATGTCGTAGGTCATGTAGGGAACCAGCACCCAGATGTACTCCACAGCCAGCCAGTGCCTGGGGAGGGAGAGCACACTCAGAGGCATCACAACAGCTCCCAGCACTTCGTGATGCTCTCTCTGGGAGTGGAAGAATCTTTAGGACTGAAATGGCAGCATTTCAATGGGTTCTTGAAGCTGAAAGTGTGTGAATTTTAACTCTGGCTCAGCAAATACAGGCTGACCCAGAGAAAAGGTGCCTGGTACGTGTGGAGAACAGATCTCAGTGCTGACCCCGCTGCTGCTGGGCTGTGCCAGGCACTGAGCTCAGCCTGGCCAAGCACAAACACGGCTCTAAGGAGGGATCCTGATTAGCCCCACAGCCAGATGTTTGCTGCACAGGCCAGAGGCACAGCATTTCGTGGGATCCAGCACCAAGCTGACACCGTTGCACAGGTGATCTTCTCCCTAAACCCTTGGATCCTCCAGATCTGGTGCTCGGTGGTGGAAACCCCTAATCCTGGGTCTCTTCTGCCTGTCGCTCTGCATCAGCTGGCTGCCTAACTCAGGGAATGTTTGGGAAGCACGTGGAGAACTCAGAGTTAACCAGGGATGGCTGGCCTGGAGTTTAGAGAGTGAAGCACAAAATATCCAATACAGGCAATAAACCCCCATGAGGCGTTTGTCAGTTGGGAAATAATTGCAGGCAGCTGCCTGTTCCCAAAGCATGTTGGAATCCTGTTGCACAATCTGGGCAGCAGCAAACCCTGCTCTGCAGGGACACCAGCCTCCTTAAAATGTCCTGTGTGAAATCACACTCATTAAAAAAAAAAAAAGACAAAACCACCCTTTGCTGTTTCTTGGAGAAATGTAGCTTGGGGCTCAAATCTCTTTTGGTCTCCTGCCATCCCAAGAAAAAAATTTGTTGCAGGAGTTCCTGCAACAAAAAGATGTGAGTGGTGTGAAGGTGGCAAGTGATTGTGTTTACAAACTTGCTGAGGGTTTTGGAGGGCAATTACAGCACCAGCAATATAACGATTGTCTGCCTCTGTAAATAAACTGGCAAATTTTACTGCAACCTTTGTGATGCTTCCTGGCTCGCTGTCTTGCTGTCATTCTCCAAGGCCCTCCCTGCTGAGCACTGGGCTCAATTTCCTCCAGATTCAAAGAAAATTGAGGTCTCTGCCCACAAAGTGTTTGCACAGAGCCCTTGGCCTTGAGTACACCCAGGCAAGCAGACAGCTCCGGGGGAAGGAGGGCTGCTGGCAGCACCTTCTGTCTGTGTGGCTTTGGGATCCATCATCTGCCTTATCTATACAGCAGAAATTTTATTTCAGAGCAAAGAGATAACTCATAGACTGCCTGGGTTAAGCAGGTTTGAGGAATCTGGGTAGATATCACTACCTAGAACAAGGCAAGGTAATTCATATCTGTGTATTAAAGACAGGTCTGCTATGGCCAAGGTGGCAGCCCTTCCTAAAAATCACCCTAAAATCGGTGTGTGACAGTCGAATTCCAGCTCAGCATAATTATATTCTTCCCTCCTGCAATCTTCTCTGCTAGTCTGGATAATAGCTCTGTTTTCAAGCCTTCTGACCCAGATTACACTATCACTCCTCCTGAGAGCCACTTCTGGGCAGTTTATCTCAGAGCACCGAGGGCAAGGCAGCAGGACTTTCCTTTGGAGCAAACTCCATCCCAACTTTACCATTTCTGGACTCTTTCAGAATCCTTTTGGCATGCCTTGGTGCACCTCAAATCAGTTCTCACTGGGTCTGCTTGACTCTGGAGCAATTTCAGTTTCCAGCAAGGAGACTCCTGACCCCTTCAGAGCTGCTGATGTCTGTATTTCTCTCTCATACACAGCCCATGTTACAGCCCATCCTTTGAGGACGCTGTGCTGGCAGAGCACCCCCAGGCTGAGCAAGCTGCTGCTGTCTGGGGGTGCACAGCCAGCACATTGCCCAACCCTTCCAGCCCAAGTGGGGGAAAGAGGAACACAGAACTGCTTTTCCTCTCCCCTTTGTACGTGCAAGCCTTTGGCCGAGCACCCTCCAGCCCCGAGCTGGCTGAGCACATCCTTGGCACGCTCCCCACGGGGCAGAGGGACCTGGTGGGCTTTGGGTTACCTGTCATGCACCACGTTCTTGCAGCTGAGCACAACCGTGATCCCCGACACCGTTGCCATCGTGGCTTGGACTGTTGACACCAGCCTGAAATGGAGAGAGAGGACAGGGGTCACCCCAAATGTGACCCCACAGGGGCTGCCACAGGAAAGGTGGTGGCACTTAGATGCCCACTCCGTGCACACCTCGTCATGGTGAGGATGTGTGGCTGTGCCAGGCGCTGCCTCCTGGGGGAATCGTGCCAGGTGCCGTCCCTTCCACCCCCGTGGGTCGGTGGAACCGCTGCCGGTTCCCCGTGGGCAGAGGGAGGGAGAGCTGCAGCGGAGCATCCCCACCCCGACAAGGGTACCACGGTGTGGGGTCCGGTGGGGCAGGGCCGGGTGGAGATGCCCGTGCACGGGGGGATGCTCTCACTCGTGGGGGGATGCTCTCACTCGGGGGGGATGCTCTCATTTGGGGGGGATGCTCTCACTCGGGGGGGATGCTCTCACTCGGGGGGATGCTCTCACTCTGGGGGATGCTCTCACTCGTGGGGGGATGCTCTCACTCTGGGGGGGATGCTCTCACTCTGGGGGATGCTCTCACTCGGGGGGATGCTCTCACTCTGGGGAGTGCTCTCACTCGGGGGGGATGCTCTCACTCGGGGGGGATGCTCTCACTCGGGGGGATGCTCTCACTCTGGGGGGATGCTCTCACTCTGGGGGATGCTCTCGGGGGCATGCTCTCACTCGGGGGGGATGCCCATGCTCGGAGAGCTGCTCCTGCCGCCGGTCCTTGCTGCCCCCGCGGGATATGGGCTTGGCACAGCCAAGGACCGTCCCCCGGAGCATCGCGGCACCCCCGGGTCCAGGCTCACGGCCGGCGGGACCCGGTGCTCTTGGCCCGCCGGGATCGCTCCCGCTGCCGCTCCCGCTGCCCATCCCGGTCCCGGCGGGTCCCGCCCGTACCTGCCGCTGAGGAGGATGCGTTCCTTGAGGCTCCATCCCGGGGCGGCCCAGCGCAGCAACCGGATGCAGAGGATGAAGAGCCCCGGGAAGAAGGCGGAGGCGAGGGCCAGCGTCCGCCACATGGGGACGGACGAGCGCGCTGCCTCCCGCCGCCGCTTACCAACAGCCGGCCGGGCGGCGGCAGAGCCCGGCTCGGCTCGGCCCGGCTCGGCTCGGCTCGGCTCGGCCCGGCTCGGCTCGGCTCGGCTCGGCCCGGCCCGGCTCGGCCCGGCTCGGCTCGGCTCGGCTCGGCCCGGCTCGGCTCGGCCCGGCTCGGCTCGGCTCGGCTCGGCTCGGCTCGGCTCGGCTCGGCTCGGTCCGGACGCGCCCCGCTCCGCCGGGCGGAGGCCCCGCCCCCTCGCGGTGAAGCCCCGCCCACCCGGCGTGGCCCCGCCCACCGCGGCCCCGCCCCGGCGCCGCCCGCCCCGCCCCTCACGGCGGAAGCGGCGGCGCCGCCATGGAGGAGGACGAGCCGGAGCTGGAGGCCGGGCTGGAGGCGGCGCTGGAGCTGGCGCCCGCCGTGCAGGCCGCCATCGAGCAGGTGCGCCGGGCGGGTCCCGCCGCTCCGGGGACGGTGCGGCCGCGGCCCGGGCCGCTCGGTGCGCTCCCCGCCGGCCCCGGGCCTTCCGCTGGGCCGGGCCCCAGCGTGGCTCGTGGTGTCGCGGTCGGTGCCAGCCGTGCGGTGCTGTCCCCGTCGGTGGTGTGCAGGGCACCCCGGTGCTTTGTTATTTCAGCCCGGTGCCCGTGATTGAAATGGGGATAACCGAAATGTCCTGCTTTGGCTTGCGGTGAAACACGGGGGTTTCATCCTGAGGGTGCTGGGCAGTGCCCAGGCTCCCCAGGGAATGGGCACGGCCGCGAGGGTGCCAGAGCTCCAGGAGAGTTTGGGCAGGGATGCTGGGGTGTATGTGCAGGGCCAGGAGTTGGATTTGATCATCCCTGTGGTCCCCCACAACTCAGGGGATTCTGTGTTCCCCGAAACCCTTCGTGGCACTTGGAGCCCACCCTCTGAGAATCCATGGTCAAACCATGGCTCTTGTCCTCTGTGACTGAGCCTGCCCTGCCTGCTGCCACCCTTCCGTCCCTGGAGCAGAAGTCTGGGCAGCAGCAGTGTCTGTCTCACAAAGTAGCACTCAAATAAGTTTTTTGCAATTTTCTTGAGTGTTGAGGCCTGTAGGTCGCTTTTGGTGGCCCTCCTGGAAGAGCAAGGGGTGACCTTGGGAACTGGTAAATTAAATGTTAGCTTCTAAAGGGGACCTCGAGCCTGTCCAGAGAAAGAATCTTCTGCACTTGCAGATATGAGTTTTTGAGCAGTGGAGAACCCACCACATGCCTGGCTGAATTATTTTAACAAAGACTTAAGCTGTAGTAAAATATTCACATCCTGAGCACTGGAGAAGTTGAGGATGACACCACCTGATGCTTTCCAACTTCCTCTCTGGCGCTTCTCAACTCAATAATCCCATTGTTCCTGTCAGTGTTCCTGAACCAGTTTTTGGGGCAAAACCTGCCCAGTTCTGGTGAAATGAGCAGAGCTGGCTCAGCTGCCCTGCCGGAAGCAGGGTGGGGAGCACAGGCAGGGCTGGTGCCTCACCAAACCCAGGCTAGCATTTCTGATTAATAGGTTGTGACAAACTCCTGGGAGTGACAGCTCCTGCAGCTGCTCCAGCTGCCTGCAGCACTGATCCCTATCTGCAGTTTGAGCTCCTGAGCAGCCTTTATCTTCCCATCTCACCTCTTGTTTCATCTGCTCTTAATACTTGTGGAGATTTAGGGTTTGTGGAGATTAATTGAGTGTGAGCTTGGAGCAGGATGGGCTGGGTGTGATGCTGCATTTACCGTGGGGTGATGTCAGAGCATTTTCTTCACTCACCACGGACTCATGCATGTTTAACTGCTGCCTGCTTCTCCTCAGCCGCAGGAGTGACTGGGAAGGCTTCCCAGGAGGGCTGGTTCGGGCAGAATTTGCTTTGATCTCACAGAATCACTGATTTTACAGTGCAAAATGTGTAAAACAGCATAAATGCTGCTTCATGTGCCCAGGTGTGAGCAGGGGGATGCTGTGGGGTCAGCTCTGCTTTTGCCAGGGGGGTGTTGGCCATGGAGTGCAGAGCTGGTGGCTCTAAAAATATGGGACAAATAGCAGAAGCAGAAAATGGCTCTGTAAATATGGGACAAATAGCAGAATCATGGAGTACTTTGGGTTGGAAGGGACCTTAATGACCATCTAATTCCTTCCACCATCACAGGCTGGTCCAAACCTCATCCAGACTGGCCTTGAACCCCTCCAGTGATGGGACATCCACAGCTTCAGGGTGGTAGCAGAGAAGGGAAAGCACACTTCAGTCTCTGGGGACAAAAAGCAAAGCTTGGCGGTCATGTTTGTGTTCTTTGAACTTCTGAGGAGAGAGGAGATCTGTTTGCACCACAGCTGCTCTTTCCCCCTTCCCAAATCATTCAGCAGATTGTGTTTCTCTTCCTCTTCTGTGAAAAGTGGCAAACCCAAGTCTCCAGAGAACTTGTACAGCCACTCCTTAATTCATCACATTTCTTATTACAGGGCTGTGGAAAGCAAGTCCTCTGTCTGTCACCATGAGGCCTGGCAAAGCTCTTGCCAAGAGCCTCAGTTTGTCCCCAGACAGCAACAAAAGCATCAGCGTGGTTTGGGATGCAGAGCTCATGTGTCTTGGGAATTCCTGGATGGATGGATTGTGCCAGGGCTGCGTGTGGAATCGTGTGTGAATTATCTGTGTTTATCCAGGCTGATATCCACAGGAATTTTGGGAGGTCACAGCCCTGCAGGGCATGTGGCTGCTCTACTCCTGGCCACTTGTTAGAGAAATGCTGTGAAACACGACTGGAAGCGGGTGCTGAAGGAATGAAAAGTCGTAGGAACTGTGTGAAGTTACAGAAATTACTGATGATGGTTGATTGTGTTTGTTTTTCTCCCTCTTTGCAGGTATTTCCCAGCCAAGATCCACTGGACAGAGCAGATTTCAATGCTGTGGAGTATATTAATGCTCTCTTTCCCACTGAGCAAGTAAGTCATGCTCCAAATACTCTCAAACTTCATTTTCACACTTTTTACTATCAGATTTTACTTCCACACTTTATTTTCAGGGTAACCTGATAGCAAAGGACCAAAGTAGTGTTTAAACCTGTACCCAAACCTTTTATTTTAAACACTAGCACAGGAAATAAAGCTTTAACAATAATCACTTCTTAAATTTGCAGCTCACTGGGTTTGCTGTCATTTTGTGGTCTCTTTTCACCCAGAGCGCTGCAGTTAAAGTCCTGCTTTGATTTGTGGAAATAAATTAATGGAATAAATTTCATAGCTTGCCATATATCAATCATTGGTGAGTTCCTGGGGGTTTTCAGCCAAATCAGGCAGGTGTTGCCTGTACAATATCACAGGAGATTTTGAACCCAATTGTTTCTTTTGGGATTTAAAGAATGAGATTTCTGTGGGCCCACATCCCTGCTTTGTCTTCCCAGCCTCAGCCCCAGGGGAATTTTGGATTAACCTCTTGCCAAACAGAGATGTTTCTACAGGTGAAATCTGTGTCTTGAGGCTGCTCCAACCTTTACCATGTCTGAGATCCTCTGCACCACCGTGGTTTTGGCTTGCAGCTTTCTCTAGCGGTGTGGCTTGGCTTTTTTCCCTTTGCCAGCAGTGAGGAGCTGTTTCCCCAGCAGTGCCTTCAGTGCCTCTCCTTCCAGCCTATTTTCTGAGGGTCTGGGCTCTGCAGGGGGGTCTCAGCCCAAAGGCAGAGGCTCAGTCCCCATCCCCAGTGCCCACTGGAGGTCACTGTCACACCGTTCTGCTGCCAAAGGACAGAGCTCAGGCATGGGGGAAGCCCTGACCTGTCTTTTTCTGCTCTTGGTGATGTGACAGAGAAGCAGCTGAGTTGTTGTCTCAGTTCTTACACCTGTAAAACAAAGCCATTGCTCTCCTCTTCCTCAAACCCTTCTGTGATGAAGTATTTGGGATCACAGCTGACATATTCCTCTGTAAAACATTCACCATTTCACTTCTCTCTGTTTTTTTTTTCTTTTCTTATATTCCAGTCTTTGGCAAACATTGATGAAGTTGTGAACAAGATCAGGTTGAAAATAAGGTAAATATTTCTGCATTTCATTGCATATCAGGTCTGATGGTCAGCAAGGCTCATAAATGCAGCCTTTGTGCTACAGTTGACAGGATTTAGTTTGTTTAAAAGGCATGGATAGGACCAGCCTCGGGTCTAATAGTGGCACAGAAACAATTATAATTTTTATATTTCACTTCTGTTAAGTGCTCTTCAGGCTGTTTAAGCTGATGTATTGTAAAGTGCAGCTTTGAAAAACAACTAACTATCAAAAATAACAAATTTTAGTACAGTTTGAAGGCTGAGTGAGCAAACTGCCCAAAAGACTCAGTTGCCAAGAATTCATTGCTTTTGGGGTCAGAATATAAATTGTAAAAACTCTCACTCTCTATTTTTGAATTGTCATTATTGGTCCTAAAAGTACAAAATTAAACACAAGTGTGCATGAAATACTTAAATTTTCTGTGCTGGCTGATACTGCCAACATGAAATGATTGAGACAGCACTTTCACATGTGGGAAGTTGAAATGCAAACAGACAAAGGATAGCTGACAATATTGCTTAAAGGAACAGGAATGCAAGAAACCCTGGTTAAATTAGGAAATGAATTTTTATTTTTGCAACAGGACTTTGAAATTGTGCAAGATAGTGCCATTGAACAGAGAGAGAGGGGGGAAATAATGACTTTAGCATTGGTAAGAGCAGGTTTTTTTGTTTTAAATTGGTTCTGTAGCTCTCAAGACTCCCCCAGTTGTTTGGGTCAGGCTCACAGAGGCTGGGTTTGACACTCTGGGGTTTTTCCTGCAGGAGGTTGGACGACAACATCCGAACTGTGGTGAGGGGACAGACCAACGTGGGACAGGATGGCAGGCAGGTATGAGCAGCCAGGAGTGCCAGGGCTTCTCAGCTTGGCATGTCACACTGAGGAGTGGCTCTGGCAGGCAAAACTCCGCTGCTGCTGTTCCAGAGATGCTTCTGTGCCTCTTACACTGATGAGCTGCTCGCTCAGCAGCTGTGCTGACCTGCCTCGCCCTCTGAAGGGAAGTGAATGAGGAATTGATTTAAAGATTAAAAGCAGGAGGCGTGTGTGCCACTC